GGACATGTTCCCAAAACTTGATTAACTGCTCAGTTTTCCCAAGGTTAGGTCGTGATCCCAGAAAGTCAGGAATCACGCAGTGAAGAATGAATTAGTTGTAAACTGCATGCTTTATTGGTATGAGATTTCCAAAATACCATTTTGACTCCATTACATTGAGTCTGAGAGTGCAACAGAGTACAAGTAAATATGACAGAGCCATAGGTAGCAGATCCTCTCCTGGTCCCAAAAGAGGCATGAAGCTTTGAGGGAAGCCACCTTGGAGAGGGTCCTTTCCTTCCCTCCTTTCCACCCTTAGAAGGGCTGGACTCTGAACCTCCCCACTCCAGGTTAGAGATTAGAGGGTACCTCCAATGCTTCATGTTGTGGAAAACTCTCCCTCAGCCAGGTTCTAATAAGCCCCATGGGGACACCTTGACCATACTTTGGGGTTCTCAGGGCACCCCCCCATTTCCTCCATAACCAGCTGTCTACAGCACATCAACACCTTGAGTTGTCACTTCGACTCTGATGATTTATCTCACTGCTTTCATGCCACCTCTGCTGCCACTCATGGGACCCAGATTACAGAGGGGAGATGCCTCTTTATCGAGGTTAATTCCAGGAGCTTACTCATTGTTACACTGATCTTACTTCCTCTAAGGTTCACCTGGACCAGGTTTGGGTACCAGGGCAGTGCTGAGATGCACAACATCCAAACAGCACACAGTATCCTTGTTCTGTAATGAGTGACATCATCTCAGAGCAGTGCTCTGTGGCTGTGTGTCCTGCAGGGGCAACAGCAGAAGCAGGAGAAGAGAGTTGCTCTGTCTCCTTCCTGGTGGCAAGGGCCACACACTGCATGTCACAAACCACCCTCCAGTGAGACCCCAGGACTGCCAACTAGGTCCAGCGCATTGGAGACTGAATCCCCCTTTTCTGAGAGTTCTGCTCTATTTTCAGTCAGAAAGAAAGAAGAGGGTGTGCGGCTTCCACCCACAGGAGCTCCCAGAAGGCAGGACCCTGGCTGACCTTCAGGTGCTTTCCCCTCTGAGGCTGTTGGGTACAAATGCAGGTGGTAAACAGGTTGCCTTCTTTTACTTTACCTCCTTGGTGTAAAAGCCTTTCCCACTGTTTACAACTTTGGGGGCAAATTGCTGAACCAGTAGCTATGAAAGGGCAGAACTGGGCACTGGGTCTCAGAGAAACAATTTGAGCTGTGTTGGGTCACCAGGAAGTTTTGAGTCTTGAGCTGTGAATTATGTATATGTACAGACTGTTTACATGTTCTCCAGTGTCTTTCAGCAGCACTTGTACCCTGGCTAGTCCAGGTCTGTGTCATTTCCCTCATGAGAGTGCTTATTCTGACGTAGGACATTGTACCAGATGCTGTAAGTGACTAGTGTAGTGTGGCTGGCTCTTCTCCCTAGGTGGAGATTGACTTTTAATGATTCCTTCTACTTCTCCAACACAGTGGTTGGGCATGTGTCCCTCACACCTAGGTACCACCATAAACTGTACCTTATAACCCACTATGAGGTGAGGGTGGCCACTTGCTTCCAGAGTCTTTCTCCATCTCACACTGAGAGTGAACAGACTTGATCAGAACAGTAAGTGTGTGCCCTTCACCTGAGGGGATATAATTACTGAATGTGACTATTTTTTCCCCAGCAAAATTATCTTAAATATGAAAATTTTAACTCATATTTAACAAAATGATAAAGTGATCAGTTATTCTACTTTAACTCAGTGAGCTATTTACACAGTCATTAAAATGATGACTGTATAAATTTTACAGATACATAGGAAAGAGTTACTGTAAGATTTAAAAGGAAAATGTTAACCAATAATTACAAATGTTATATAACTGCAATTATGGTACATATATCCAGTATAGTAAAATGTACTATATATGATAGTATAGTGTTGGTTGTAGGGTGGTAAGATGATGACTATACCTTTTACAAATTGTGTTTCAGGATGTCAGATCACTATGTTTACACCTGAAAAACTCTACCAGTACTAGCCTGTACACCAACTATGCTGAAATGGAAATATATTTGAAAATAAATATAGAAATAAATTCACCTACTAAAGGTTGTAAGATGTAAGAAAAGCTCTCATATTTCATCTGTCTTTATTGTAAATACTATAGCATAAAAGATGATTTTGAAAAGCCACCCACCTCTTGCTTACCTTATGTGGGCAGCAGAGCTCACTGAACATGCAGACCAGATGGGCTCTTATCAGAACAGCTACTGTATTTCTCCATCCCTCACCCAGTGCTGTGCACTACACATCAATAGCACTCAACACACAATGTCTCATCCAGCCATCCTAACCAGTTCAGGAAGAACATCCTATTATCAGTCTGTTTTATGCGTACGTTTACCAGAAAGTAGCAAACGTCTGACTTTTGATGAGTTGCTGTCACTGCCAAGCCCTCCTTCCCTGTGGTCACCCACCCTTAGCAAGCACCACACATTCTCCTCTGTGTCTGTGCTGCCAGTGTGACTTAGACTGGACCTCAGAGGGAAGGCCTGTGGCTCACAGTGCTGCCTGTGAGTAGCTAGCATTTGGTTCAATTTAAGGATTCAGCAAACCTCTTTGGACATCACATCTAAACCTCGCCTTCCCATTAGTGTTTTTAAGTAATGCTTGTGAGTGTCCCTCAATGAACTCTCAGTATGAGTGATATGGAGGCTCTTCGTTATTGATAAATTTGAGACCCCTGCATTCATCCACTTCACAACTATTCTTAATAAAACTGGGACATTTGGACTATTGATTTTTATTTTTTAATCCTCACCCGAGGACATGCTTGTTGTTTCTTTAGAGAGACAGGGGAGGGGAGGGAGAGAGGGAGAAAAACATAAATATGAGAAACATCCATTGGTTGCCTCCTGTATGTGTGGCAACTGGGACCAAACCTGCAATGCAGGTCTACAAGGGTCCTGATGGGACCAAACCTCATACTTTCAATTTATAGGGCTACACTCCAACCTACTGAGCCACACCAGCCAGGGCAGGTTACTGCTTTTGGTGCCTTCCGATTGCTTATGTTGTGTAGGTAGGGAGCTCTAAAGCAGACTGGGAGCCTGGAGCAGGGAAAAGGACCTTGCTCCTTCCTGTCTGCCCACTGCTCTAGTCAGCCTTGCCCAACAGCTCTTGGCAGTGGCAGTGATGGCCCCCTGCCCAGCCTTCGTTACTCAGGTTCTCAGAGCCGGGCTTGTCATTCCCTGCTGGGGCCACAGTGCCACTGGGACTCCCCATCTCTTCACAGGGTCAAGTCTAAACCCCGACTCCTCTGACCCTCTGGATTCTAATCGCCTCTGCTGTGTGCCCTTGTTCCCTAGCGGTGGCAGCTTCATGTAGTTCTGCTTGTTCATCTGAGAGCTCTGTGTTTACTGTTGTAGTTCCCCAGGGTCCTTGTACCCAACGTGTTGTATGGAAGTCTCTCTACTACTGTCGAATACTCATGATGCCTCCACTTTTCTGCGGGTACTTGAGGGAAGGGGTGTGGAGGATGCTGGTACCATTGTGCAGTTCTCCCTCACATTACCCAAACTTTGTTTCCCTGTCCCAGAATCAAGGCTAATCCCTAAGCAAGACACTGTAGGTCTACGTGAAAAGATTTCTGCTAGAATTCCTGATGGCTCCTGGGGTGCCTGTGTTTTCACCCCATCTGGCAACACTGAGTGACAGTGACATAGCTACATTGTCTTCTGGGTGAGGTGGCCCATCAGTCCTGCCCCTATGTGACCCTGTCCTCTGGAAATGGGGACACCTGCTCAACTGCCAGCAATCTGTAACAGCACAGGATGAACCTATTATTTTTTCCAAAAAAAGGAATCTGAGTGAAAATCAGGCTCAATGGGGAGGAGGAGGAGTAGTAGCTGAGGGTAAACAAAGGGAGGTAAGGAAATCTAACATTACATCAGAGCCTCAAGAAAGGCTCCCACCTGCAGAATGTTACTGTCTCTAAACACAGTTATACCAGACACACAAAGTGGTGACGTCACACATTTACTCAAACGACTTTGTATTTGGAAGCTGACAAGGTCAAATGGAAGCTTGAAGTCCTGAGTGGCCTTCACTGGAACATATTTTGGTCACATGACAGGATGATAAACTGGATCAGTTGTTTGTGACTTGGCGGGGCAACTTCTTCATGAGTCCCCCTGGTGCCACCAACACAAGAATGAATATGGCCGAGACATGCTGAGATCCACCTGGGGAGGAGGAGTGGGCTGTGGCCAGTTTCTCTGGGGAGATAAAGGCCAGCAGCAGCCAGTTCCTCCGAGGAGAAAAAGGCCCCGAGGGCCCTCTTCCATAGCCTTTAATTGGATTGTAATACACAGGAATACAGGGCGGCAAGGATCAAACAGTAGATCACATTTCAAAGAAATCTGAGGGCTTCAGAGTCTGAGTCAGTGTCTGTCAGGAAGAGAGTTGCAGAAACTTTGGGAGACATACTCATTTCCTCTCGGACCCTTATCATATGAATGAAAGCACTTTTAGCGGAGTAGATTTCACAGGTTTATCAGGAAGTCTTTGTGATGCCAGATTTTCCCCAGGACCCGCTCTAGCAAGGCAAGGAGCTGCACCTCTCTCCATCAGGTATTCAGGCTTAAGGAAATTAGAGTCAGGAAGCAATTCTCCCAGGGAACATGGAAACTTGAGCTTTGTCAAAGCCAGGGCTCCAGAGTCCATTGCTCTTTGTTGCAACCCCCCAAGTCTTTCCACAAAGGCCTCCCAAGTGATGGAGTCTAGCTTAGTTTACGCCCTGCTGTGAGGGGTCTTACCCATCATTGACTTCTGACCAAGCTTCTGGGTCAGGGAGAGGAACTGAGGCAGTGATTGCTACCAGAGACAGGCGGCTGGCATTCCAAAGGTTGTCCGTCTTGCCCTTTGCCACAAGGGATCAAGATACAACTCCGAAAATCAGGCAGAGTGGTCTACAACAGTGACTTGACAGAATTCTGACTAGGTAGGAGTAACACTTGACTCCTATTTTTCAGGTTGCTGCTACTGCACCGGCTCTATTTTGGGAAGAGGTTTCCAGGAACCACTCTCCATGTAGCCCTTGGATTGTGTGTTGTTCAGTTCTCAGCTTTCTGATGATGGTGTACCTGTCCACCTTGATGACCACATGTGAAGAAAGGTCCCCGGTTTAATGGACCAAAAGCACCAGCTGTGTGCTTGGCACAGGTACATATTTATTTTTCTGTGTGGAAACCTATTGCAAAAAAAAACAGAAGAAGACAGTGGATTACTGTGGGAAGAAAACATAGACTTCACAGGGTAGATGTGAATTTCCTGGGAAGGGGCCCTGTGTGGCAGGAGGCAGTTTCAAGGAGGCCTTGTGGTACACCCAGACTAAGTCACACTGAGGGAGGGCTGCCACTTACCTAGCAATAATATGGAGGAGCCACTGTTTCTGGAATAACAAAACATACCTTGCAACTGTACTCAGGCCATTGAGAATTAGAAATAACAAGTATACAATGGAAATAGCAAGCATGATGAATTGTCCCCTAAAAAAGAAAAAAAAATGGCTTTGGGAGAGACAGGTGGCTCTTGTGGCGTCAGCAGACAAGTTGAGTTTCCTTTTGATGAGAAGGAACAGTCCGTGGAAACTTGTTACCTGGAATGAGCAGATTAGGAAGATCCAACTACCTCACATAAGTGAGCTAATTGGAATACTGATCTGGATGGTCAAAAGTATCAGAAGGTCTGGTTAAGGTCTCGTCAGAGATGTCTGCACAGGTTATTACAAGGTAAAAATAACACAGCTCAAAGGGGAGCAGGTACCAGTCAAATTACCATAAACCTATGGAAACCTATTTCATGACTTTATACGGGATGCAGCAGTCACTCTGAGTTATCCCTGGGCCACAGTTGCTTTCCCAGATGTGGGGCACAGCCACACTGGGGCTGTGTTTGTTATACCAAATAAGCTGTCACTGCATCTGTTGTGTACATGACCCCCTAAACCTAGAAGCTCAGGAGAGACGTGGACACCAGCCTGCAGTGTCAGGGGTGTTATGGACGGGATAAGAGACAAATTTACATGGACTACTGAATCCTGTGGAGGAAAAGGGACAGCAGAACTACTCCCCGAATTGGGGAGCACCTTGGATCAGCCTAGCTAGTCTCTCAAGGGGAGAGCATCCTGTCCCTTGCCCAAAGAGGATTTTATTAAATTCAGTTAGAACAGGAATACAGGTAAAGGTCATTAATCATTATCAGGCAGTAAGGATCAAAGAATAGATAGTCTACAAAGAACTATGAGGGCCTATTCTGAGTTAAGGTCTGTTAGCTAAAGGATGACAAAACTTTGGGAAAAAAACTTGTTTCCTGCTCAGATCCTTATCATTTAATTTAGAGCAATCTTAGCCAAGCAGGTTTCACAGGATTCCTTGTTTACTTTGTTAGACCTAATCACCCAGGAAGCCCACCCTTTCCAGCACAGGGCAGCACTGCCCTCTGTCATTGAAGTTTCAGGCTCAAGTCAGGCAGGGAAAGTAAAGCAGCCAAGAGATTAGGAGACTTCTTGCAGACCAAATGAGGATTCAGTCTATGTCAAATCCGAGGGGTGAGGTTCCATCACCCCCATTTGCTGTAGCCCCCAAGTCCTTCCCTGGGGCCTCCCCATGATTGTGCCTGTCTTAGGTTGTTCCCTCCTTGGGGAATCTTACCCATCATTGGATAACCAGTCAAACACTGGGGGCCAGTTATGAATGAAGTAAAAGAATCTGAAGCAGTGCTCCTACCTTATGGAGATAAACATTGCGTCCTTAGTGGCTTATGGTCTGAAGGTCACTCACTCAGCCTTAGCCATTGGGGGTCACAGGTCCTGTAACCAGGCAGGGTGGTTCCCAACACAGGAGGTCCACACATTTTTCTGTATGGACCCCCTGTAAAGCCCCCCTTTCTGTAAAGCCCCCCTGTGCACTCCCGAGAGAGTAAGGATGAAGAAGGCAAAGTGTCCGAGCATTATTGTGAAAAGAGTTCAGACCTGGTAGAGCCTTGGAAAGGTCCTCACCCCCTCACACAGGCCAGGTGGGCAGACTGGGCAAGCAACTGTTCACTCAGGTAAGTTTACATAAATTGAAAATGAAAAGACACTTTGAATCATTCTAATCCTGTCCCTGAGAGTGAGGCACAAGAATGGAAATTGTGTTCTTCTGAGCTGGGATTCAGAGTTGCTGGGACAGTTTGGGTGGGAGTTCTGGAGGCAGGTGCGCTGATAATGAAGACAGTGGGGATGTGAGCATCGCCCTAAGGACCAACACATGATGTAAGGAGTCGGGACAGGGCACAGCAGGTAAGAAATGACTGGGTGGGTAGGTGGAATTCTGAAGACGGTTTCCCACCCATGTCAAGAGCTCCTTGGTCATCTAATGCAGCCCAGGCCTTGGGACTGCTCAAAAGGGATGTTGCCCACCAACTGGACCTAAACCAGGGAGGCTGCGGTGGTGGGCTGAACCCAGTGAGGGGAGACTCCTGAGAACAGAAGTCCCCCAACCACCTGCCAAAGGAGGAAGTCAGAGGGGGAAGTGAAGAGTGAAGGTGGAGGGGCCACAGGCAGGGCCACAGATGGGGGGCACAGCTGGCCTGAGTCTTGGTCTCCACCTGCAAGTCCTGCACCAAAATGCAGCCGAGCCCACCAGGCCTCTGCCCTTTAGAACTGAGAGACAGTAGGACACACGGTGCTGGTGGAAGCCTGTTCACACATTTGTGCTCATCTGCTGCAGGGATGGGAAACTGAAACACAGTTGACGTCTGGTAGGACTCACCTTGCTTCCAGCTCTGGCCCTTCCCAGACTGGTCATCTGTCACTCCATGCAGGACCCCCTTGAACTCTGAAAAATCACTAAGGCACCAAAGACACTCTATTTATGTGTTTATGTGTGTTGGTGTGTGTCAGATAGAAATGAAAAGTGAGAGCTTATGAAATATGTGCTTTTAATTCCTTTAGAACTATTTCCATCATATGTTAACCTAAAGAAAGTATTTTGATGATACGTATTTTTTGTAGAACATAAAACTACTGAAAAGAGCAGCTGTGATTTACACTTCTGAAAATCCTTTAAGTGTTGGTTGAGCAGAGAGCAGCTGGGTTGACATCTTCTGCATTTTCTCTGGGCCACCTCATCGAATGTCATGTTGCCTCCAGAAAGCCCCCCTGTGCACTCCCGAGAGAGTAAGGATGAAGAAGGCAAAGTGTCCGAGCATTATTGTGAAAAGAGTTCAGACCTGGTAGAGCCTTGGAAAGGTCCTCAGAGATTCCCTGTGGTCCCCGGGCCACAATCAGAGGACTCATGACAGTGTGTTCAGACTTCGAGCTCCACATCTGCCAAGTGAAAATGATGATCAGACTGAACTGTGTGGTCTATGTTTGGCACCTTTTCTGAAACACAAGAAGGACTCAGTAGTTGTTGCTCATGGATGTGATAATTCTTCCTCATTTGTACCTATGAGCCCTGAGTGTAGACATTGACACATCCTGCTTGGGGGGGTGGCCTGTTTTCTCTAAAGGTCACCCTAACAGGTTCCACGGAATCCCACCCTCTACAGATGTAGAGAAGCAGATATTCATAATGCTAATCATTTCAAGAGCATGGCTGCCATTATTTGTTATGTCTGACTTAGGGTTTAAGCCCCTGAGATACCTGCAAGTTCATGTAGAAGCAGCACAGCACTAACAGCTGCCGTGCCTGGTCCCCAGTGCTCTCCCCCCAGGGACAATCAGACTTGATCTTCACTGTCCTCCCCGGAGGGAATTCAGAGAGTTTTTCTTTTTCTGTAGGGAGAAGATAACTAGGCAGAATATCTTATGATCCTTGTGGGAAGGAGAACTCTCAGGAGAAACTGCAGAATATTTTTAGTTCCTCTGATTCTCCAATGGAAGCTGTGTCCCTGGGCTTCTCTGAAGGACCCACAGCAAGACCTGCGGCCCCTCCAGTGTCTGGGTCTCCACCTGCAGAAGCTGCAGAGGGCAGGCTGCTGCCCCTGTTCCCAGGTGCATCTCTCTCCTCCGTGGGGTTTATTCCAGGTCAGAGCAGGTCCTCGTGAGAAAATCCCCCACAGAAAAGACCGTTTTGTGCTGGGAAGTGAACTTCAGTGTGAGTAGTTGAGGCCGGACAGGAGAGTAGCTGACACCACCGTGGGTGTGTGCACGAGACTGGCACTGCTGGGAGCTCTTTCCTCCTGACTCCTATGGGGCACTGTAGGTCAGTGAAACTTACACCTACATTTCTTTTTTCCCACCTCAAGGACATCTGTCTGCTGTGCTATGGGCAGAGTCCAGACCTCCCTTAGCATCTCTCATACTCCCCTCCCAATGTGTGGTGCTCAGAATAACCACACTGTCTCAGCCAGGGCTTTATAGCCAGGCATTGGCTCTGAGTAAGGATCCCAGGAGCCAGATTAGAGGTGGTCTGTGTTTCCTAGTCTGAATGAGGAGGGTGACGTCCAGGGCAAGTTCTCTCCATGGGAGAGAATCTTCCAGGAAGGGTGGCAGTAATTCATTTCTTTGCTGAAACCAGGTAAAATGTAAGTTTACCATTTAGTTGCTTCCTTTCCTGACCATCCCAGGTGATCAGCTCATGGTGATGATTGTCAGAGTGGAAATCACAGTGTGTGATGTAAATATATCCACTATCATCCAATAGGACACCATGAGTGGGAGACTCCTGGGCAGAGCTGGGGAAGTGGGACACAGCTCCAGAGCTGCAGAAACTCGGAGTCACAGGACCTCCCAGGTGAAGAGCTGCTTGTGCCCACCTCGCGAACCTTTTTTTGTGTGTCACTAGTGTTTTGTTCTCACCGTGATGTTTTCTTCTCCGTTCCAGTGTGTGCCTGCTTAGGAGGTTGAATCTATCTTCTATTTCATTTTCATGTTGCTAATTTTTAATAGCAAAATGATGACTGTGGTAATGAAAACAAAAATAAAATTATAAATACATCTAAAATAAAATAATCCATTTATAGAGACACAAAACTAAATAGTCAGGGAATAAATGTTCCTACTGACTAGAAATGTTCCTATTGACTAGTTACTTTCAACAAAATTATTCTTCTTCATGTTCAGATATGAATATGTTTCAAACATTACTTACTGTGGCCAACTGTGTTTGAGTAGAATTTGGCAACACTGATGTGGCTTCTCTCACTTTCCATGACACAGCAGTATCTTTAATTGTAGGAAAAATTAATGTCACAAACTTAATGCACATTTACACAGAACCTTCCCAAATGTACTCATATTTATGAGAGTGAAAATCGAGAATTTTGTCTGTTTCTCTGAAGGATCAAATTCTCAGTGTGCTTTTCCAATAAAATAGAAACCATGTCTTGGTCAATAGATCCTGGCGCACAGAAGATGCTTAACATACACATTTTTTAAGTAAAAATGACAGTCATCTATTTAACAAACACTTCCTAAATGCCTGTTTTCTTCTAGAACTATACTAATTGTTATGAGACATAAAGATGTGTAAGACATGTAAGGATTATTTGGTGAGAGGGAATCTCAGCTTAAATAAGTGACATTTGATCTGAACCACCTTCTATTTTTGATATGTCCTGAAGTTTACCCATAGCCTCATAATGAAGACTTAACTATTGTAACTGTTGTTATTGGCCAAGCATGTATTTTGTTTCATTTCTGAAGAACCTCCCACAAGAACCTAGCCTAACTTCCAAGGGTGGAAAGACCTTGTTTTCAGGTTGTGTGACATCCAGGTCTTCAATGGGGCTCAGGGAGGATCAAGCAGGCGGCCACCTCTCTCTGTTGTAACTGGACTCCCCCTATGATGTCACGGTTCAGATGAGGAAGGTGTGGTGCCCTGAACACCCATTGGGGTAAAACAGTGAGGGCAGTGGTCGTCCCAGTGTGTCAGCACCTGGGTGTGTTTGACCCATTTGCACACCCACCTGAGTGTCCACCAGTCTGAGAATGCTCAGGTACTGAGGCCTGACTGCCCCCCAAGGGATAGACAGTAATTAATAGTACTTTTTAAATTACCGAATTCATCCATACTCATAAGCATTTAAAAATGTGTGAATTAAAATTATATCAATGGTCTTAAGAGATGAAACTCGTAATTATGGGGAACACACTGTCTGCTCCCCTGAATCCTCACTGTAAGGCCTGTGTGGTGCAGAGGGGTTAAGTGATGGTCATGTGTTAAAGGAATTGTTTCACTTGTCATTGGTGCACAGGTAGGAGCCTTCTCCACTTGTTCAAACACAGTGAAGAGTCATGGAAAAAGTATAGGTTTCCCTGAAGCCAGGGGTTAGAAAACAGGGGTTCCCCTCAAGCCAGAAACTGGAATTGAGAAGAAAATACTTGATGAGACGCTAATGAGAAATCCGTGTCTCTTGTTCTTTATACCGTAGATGTAAAGACGTCTAACAGGAAATCCAGGTGCTGGTGTTGTGGTCATTTCTTTCACGTGGACCATGTGGAACCTGGGGTGGAGGAGGTAGGACATGAAATAATCTCACATGAAATGTGTGGATTTCTCCAGATAATAGAATAAATAGCTCAGGTGACAGAATGAAAGTAACAAGGATGTTCAGCCTGGTGACCAAATAGCTGAACCACCATATTCAAACAATGACCCATATTCTTAAACTTTAATCTTTAAAATGTCAGAATCTTTGATTTTCTGAGTAGGAATAAAACAATAATACAACCTTGGTAATTAATAAAGTGTTAGATACAAATATATATTTTGCCTAAAAATTAACTACTAAATAATACCAAGAATGATTTCTTCAATTTTAATGTTAGTTTAGTGAAATAGTTTTGACTCCATAAAAGGGAAGTCAGGTAATCTGTTTTCAGTGTTCACAAATATGAGAATATGTTATCCTAGGAACAGTTTTCATTCCTTGCCAAATTTTATGCTTGCTGTTTTAAAAGACTACATCAAAAATGTGGCAGAAATCATGATAAAGGTATGAGTAATTGATATTAGGTAATGGTTTATGAATATGATTCTTCCCTAAGGTAATCAGACCCTATTGGAGAAGCATCTGTGCCCGAGGCTGAAGTGGGGAATGTATGAGAAAAGTGTGAAACAGCCATCAGAAGTAAGGAAGTGCTCCAAAACTATGGAGATGTGTTAGAAAACAAAAGGGCAAACTTGATGGGTTTAGATCTAGAATAATTAAGAATGAATAAATTTTTTCATTACAAAATTCATGAGTCCATACTGATAGAAAGATGATAGATGCAGACGTATTAAGATATATAGATGATTGATAGATAGGTAGGTACGTGATAGAGCCTTTCCTCATGAGGAAATTGACAACCAATAAATGTACCAGCAGTGATGGAATAAGAACACCAACTTTTGCAATAATCACTACTAGTAATCGAGTCAGGTAAGATAATCAACTGGCACTGAAATTAGTGGCTTAGAAGCTCTATGAGGAACAGAATATTATATAGTAACTTTAATGGCTGGTCCAGAAATTGCATGCGGGAAAAAAATCAAGATTCTACAATGGAAATACTGGGGAGGCACTATTTTCACCAGGCGATCTGAGTGATCGTCACCAGTGATGGAACACTGAACCTCATGCACCTGCCCATGAAGCAGAACAGAAGATATTTAATTTCCCCACAGAGATTGAATAACCTGAATAAAACAATGAGAAGCTGCATACAGTTCCATTTAGAGAACATTGTAGTAAAAATATTATCTACAATCTTCTAAAATTCAGTGGTCGTTATGGCAAAGGCAGACGGAGTACCTAGTTTAGATGAAAGGAGACTAAAGATGAATGACATTAGCCCTGGCTGGTGTAGCTCAGTGGATTGAGCACGGGCCTGCGAACCAGACAATCGCGATTCGATTCCCAGTCAGGGCACATACCTGGGTTGCAGGCAGGTTCCCTGCAGGCCAGCTCCCAGCAGGGGACGCATGAAAGGCAACCATACATTGATGTTTCTCTCCCTCTCTCCTTCCCTTCCCCTCTAAAGATAAATAAATAAAAATCTTTAAAAAAAAAAGATGAATGACATTAAATATCACATGTCATTTTGGATTGAGTCCTGGGTGAGGGAAGTGGAGAGAGAATATTATAGATTAAAGACTCATGTCAATATCAAATTTCCTGATTTGGATAATTGTGGTTAGATTACTGAATGTCTTTGTTTTTGGTGGAAAAAGAGGAATTTAAGGGTAAATGGGTATCATGTCTATTCATACTTTAATCTCAAGTGCTTCATAAAAAGGAATATTCATATAATAATAGAGACAAAGAATTATAAGGTAAATATGAAATAAATACTAAAATTTGTTAAAACTGGGCATATGGTTATATTGGAGTTCTTTGCATAATTCTTGACTGTTTTCTATCAGTTTAAATTTATTTTATAGGAAAGTTAAAAACAGTTAACCAGTTTGGGGGATAAGGGGAAGCTTTCAAGGAGTGACAAAAATACAACCTTTCTCTGAGCTCACATTGAGATTAACTCCACTTTGTATTGATTCTCCAGCCCAGACCTTTATCACACTTCAGTTCCTGACCAGGTCTCTGTAAGGAATGAAGGGGAACTGGTCATGGGCCACAGAGTTCGTGCTGCTGGGATTCCAGCTCAGCGCAGAGACAGAAGTGCTCCTCTTCTGTGTCTTCTCCCTGCTCTACACCTTCAGTCTGTTGGCAAATGGCATGATCTTTGCACTCATCTGTCTGGACCAGAGACTACACACCCCCATGTACTACTTCCTCTCCCACCTGGCCATCATTGACATCTCCTATGCTTCCAACAATGTCCCCAAGATGCTGGCAAACTTAGTGACCCAGAAAAGAGCCATCTCCTTTGTCCCATGCATCATGCAGACATTTTTGTATCTAGCATTTGCTCACACAGAG